GGGAATGGTGGGAATCCTTCTAAAATCCAAGTTCCCACACCAGCCAAGGGCCAACTTCGCAAGCAAGCTTTTCTAAGAATAGCAGGGCCAGGCTGGCCATGTCAACTCTTTTCTGCACACTGTCCTTTCCATATTCCTGTTGATATTTAAATGAAATTCTATTATGACTTTCTTTAGGTTTTTGGTTGTTGTTCTCGGTTAATACGTAATCTTTTCTACAAAGTTTCCAGATTTTTCACCCATTTTGGTCACCCTCATCTGGACTCTGGCTTGACTATGTGCCTCCTAAAACATGAAGTCAAAAAGTAGAGTAATAGTCCAGGCATAATTTCATCATGAATAGGGCATTTCATTTTTGTGAATGGAGTATTATATTTTGTTTTTTAAAGCTGCATTACCAATGAGTGATGTGTTGAGCTGACAGACAACACTTGAATTCTATGGCATTATACTTATTATCATCCTGTTCATGGCAGTTTGTTTGTTTAAGCACAGTGCTCCTACCTACCAAGATAATTTTAAGTCCTAATTCTATCATCTGTCTCGGGCTAACTTTGCTTTCTAGCCTGCTGTCATATGAAAATCATTAAGGGTTCCGGAGCCATACTACCTCGGTTCAAATCATGGAACTTTACTTACTAGCAATGTGGTTCTCAGTGGATGAGCATAAATCTGTGAGCCTCAGTTGCCTCATCTATAAAAACTAGGAATAGCTCTGTCTGGTGCGGCTCAGTTGGCTGGGCATTGTCCTGCAAGGTGAAAGGTCACCAGTTTGATTCCTGGTTGGGGCAGATGCCTGGGTCATTGGTTTGGTCCCTGGTCAGGTGGGTGTGAAAGAGAAGAAACTGATCAATGTTTCTCTCTCACACTGATGGTTCTCTTCCTCCCTCCCTTCCCCTCTTTCTAAAAATAAATAAAACCTTTAAAAAACTAGAATAATCATATCTATTTCACAGAGTTGTTTGATAAAATTTAAAAAAACCATATATAATAAGCCTACTATTGGGTCTGGCATATTGCAATTGCAAAATTAACATTAATTATTATTATTAATCTAAAACACTGATAAAAATAATATGTCAGAATCAAAGGCAAGGTTCCACAGCATATCTTGGTGACTTCTCTCAGAGATACAGCATCAAAATTCTTTGAGAATATAGTTTCAACCAGATTTATGCTTAATTATTATACACTTAAATCCAGTAGAGATATAAAAAGTTAAATATTCATTATTATAAATTTTTAGTTAAGATATTGTTGTCTCTAAACTTAACCTTTTTACCACCTACTAAATACCAGTATGAAAAGAAATAAATCAAGACAGATTAGACTGAACAAGAAAATCTCTATCACTTAGAAAATAATTTCAACTGTTCAAAGGAATTCCTCCCTATGTCAGAAGTCTGGCAGAATAAGGGAAAAACACATTCCTGTGCTTATTTCTGTGTATTGCCTCTAGCAAGACAGTACAATGAAAATGAAATGTTAAAATGATAAAGTATAATAAAACAGAAGACTTTACAGATACTCTATTTTTTATGAATGGGGGTTGATTAAAATCACCCCCATTTTACAGGCAGAGAAGTGATTTGCTCAAGGTCAAAAGGAACGTGTGAGAAAGACCTGAATCCCAACTTGGCCACTTATTAGCTGTGTGAATATACAATCTCCCTTAGCTCAATGGTAAGTGTAAATAACATCTGTTTTTAAATCATTTTCTATTGTTATTCTGTTGTTCCAATTTCCCCCCTTTTGCCCTCCTCTACCCCTCCACCCCACCCGATTCCCCCAGTCAATTCCCACACTGTTGTTCATGTCTGTGGGTCATTCATACATGTTCTTTGTCCAGTCCCTTCCCCTTCTTTCCACCACTATCCCCAAACCCCCTCCCCACTGGTCACTTTCACTCTGTTCCGTTTCCATGCCTGTGGTTCTATTTTGTTCATTAGTTTATCGTTTATTAGATTCCTCTTATAGGTGAGATCATATTTCACTTAGCATAAGAGTCTCCAGTTCCATCTATGCTGTCACAAAAGGTAGGAGTTCTTTCTTTCTGTTCCTTAATATTCCACTGTGTAAATATACCACAGTTTTTTGATCCACTCCTTTACTGATGGATACTTAGGCTGATTCCAGCTCTTGGCTATTGTAAATAGCGCTGCTATGAACATAGGGGTGCATAAGTTCTTTTAATTGATGACTCAGAATTCTTAGGGTATATTCCCAGCAGCGTAATTGTTGGGTCAAAAGTCAGTTCCAGTTTTAGTTTTCTGAAGAAATTCCATACTGTTTTTTACAGTGGCTGCATCAGTCTGCATTCCCGAGAGTGCACTAGGGTTCCCTTTTCTCTGCATCCTCACCAACATTTGTTGTTTGTTGATTTATTAATGATGGCCATTCTGACAGGTGTGAGGTGATATTTCAGTGTAGTTTTAATTTGCATCTCTCTGATGGCTAGTGATGTTGAGCATCCTTTCATATGCCTATGGGCCTTCTGTATGTCCTCCTTAGAGAAGTGTCTATTTGGATCCTTTGCCCATTTTTTTAATTGGATTGTCTGTCTTCCTGGTATTTAGTTGTACAAGTTCTTTATATATTTTGGAGCTCAAAGCCTTGTCTGATGTATCTATCACTGGCAAATATGTTCTCCCACACATTCAGTTCCCTTTTCATTCTGATGATTTCTTTAGCCATACAGAAGCTTTTTAGTTTCACGTAGTCCCAATTACATCTTACAAGAAGTAAAGTTATGTTTGCAAAGCCTCTAGCACAGAGCCTTACAGAAAAAGTACTCAATAAATGTTACCCCATTTTTGTGATTCCTGGCCTTGTATTCTTTCCGAACACCATGCTACTACTTCTTGATACCCTCTCACCAACTGTGTTAACAGGTGAGTCACAAAGAACATGACTTTTTGGTGATTACCATGTGGTATCAAATGAAACCTCAGTAAAGTCCAGCTATATTATATAACAAACTTTCTCCTTTTGTCCATATGACCTATCAGTTCATCAAAGCAGAATATAAAATTGGTCTACCAAGATTTGTCACTTATAAAATTGGTCTACCAAGATTTGTCGCTTAATGTTCCTCAATACCTTCTGTTTTTTTAAGTAAATGCCAAGTAAGTGGTTTATTCAAAATGTTCCCACTTCTGACCACTATTTAAAAAATTAAGTGGACCTTATAATTCCCAGTTATCTTTTCCCTTTAATAAAAAAAGGATGGCCCTGGCTGGTGTAGCTCAGTGGATTTGAGTGCTGGCCTGTGAACCAAAGGGTCGCCTTTGGATTCCCAGTCAGGGCACATGCCTGGGTTATGGGCCGCAGGAGGGCAGCCACACATTGATACCTCTCTCCCTTTCTCCCTCCCTTCCGTCTAAAAAGAAATAAATTTTTCTTAAAAAGCATGCCTTTTTCTGCTATCAGATACATCAGAAAATTCTATACACCACATTTAGTAAAAAATAAAGGCTAACGTCCTGGCATTAGGTCCTTTTCCCCATTGGCATATGGGTATATCTAATACTGAAGTCTAAGCATCAGTCATACCAAATGTGGACATAGCAATTAGTACTTCCTGTCAATTGGGCAGCATTTTCTTAAGAAGATATAAAAATGCTAGGAGGTAACATGTTCTCTTATAAAGCAAAACTGCTGCATAATTAATCTTTTCTTTTTCCTGGAAAGCAAGGATGTCTCCAAGCACAGGCTGTTGGCTTCCAAGTATCACTTAAAGTGCTCCTGTGTCTCAAAGTGATCTGAACACAGATGTTAAAAGCCAAAGGGGTGTTTTAATTAACTGTTGACTTCTGAAATTTACCCCTTCCACAATTAGCTAAAAGGCATACTGGGAGGGCTACTATCAGAAGCAACACAGAGAAAATGTCTGGCACAGTGAAGGTTCACTGCCAGTTCATAACAGTATGAATTCATTAACTTTTCAAAGCCAAAATGAGCTCTGGACAGAGCAGCTTCTCAAAGTAGCTTTTGCTAAGGCCTAGGAGGTAATATAAAATAACAGAGCAATAAGAGATGGTCAAGTACAAGTCAATGCTTAGGAATTATAATATGATCTATCCCTTGATTTCCTAAAAAAAAATCACTAAGCTGAAGGTAAGATATTTTCCTTCCTTTATTCACTCTTTCTTAAGCTAACTTCATGAAAAGAAAATAGGGAATTATATTTTTGGTGCTCAGGTTTAACCATCTATAGATGACAATGATTACTTTTCCTGCTAATCACATGAATCTGACAAAAGGATAAATGAAATAACAGCTGTGAAAGCACTCTTTGAAATTTAACGTACACACAGTAACCTGAGATATAACTGCATTTTTAAGTTCATCATCATTTACGATGAGATTCCAATGGTGTCAGTGCAACTGGTCAAACACACATTATAGACAAAGTAACCTGAAGGTAATTTTTCTCAGCTCTCTATGAAATTACATTTATTAACAATTACAACTTTTTTTTGTATATATACCCACTCATTTTGTTTCACTTTTATAACTTAATACCTATAATAAATAAATCCAAAATAAATTCACTTAATTAAAAAGTGGAAATTTGGAACATTAGCTCACTAAATCACTAAGATCTATAATTATATATTAAGAAAATCTTGCCCTGGTTGGTGTGGCTCAGTGGATTGCAAACCAAAGAGTCTGCGAACCAAAGGGTCACCAGTGTGAGTCCCGGTCAGGGGGCACAGACCTGGGTTGCCGGCCAGGTCCTCAGTAGTGGGTGTACAAGAGGCAACCACACATTGGTGTTTCTCTTCCTCTCTTTCTCCCTCCCTTCCCCTCTCTAAAAATAAATAAATAAAATCTTTTTAAAAATCTTAATATGACTGCACAGAGTTTTCAGTTTTAAATAAATAGGTTTTTAAAAATCACTTCCCACTGTTTAAATTCAAAATAAAAAGGCAAAATCATTAATGGTTTCAAACAAGAGCAACACTCACATCCTTGTCCCAAGAGAAAACTCAACTCACCTCATCCCCCTTCAAAATCTCAGTGCCGTCAAGTTCACGGGTCTGATTTGTCTTCACTGACGCCTCTCTCTCCAGGCTGGCTAACTTCTCCTTTGTTTCCTGAAGTTCCTCAGCTTTTGCTTCTTTTTTGCGAGAAATGATGGATGCCTAATTGAGCATTAAATATGAATGTAAAATATAACATATACAATCAACTATCTATTAAATTGTGAAATTTCCTACTTTTTAGATTTTACCATGCTAAAATTTCAATATAAGGTTGGCTTGTCCTGACCTATACTACTACTTATCATCATCAGTTATATATTTAGTATGAGTTTACAATGAATATTAAATATCAACCTAAAAATATTTTGGAAGACCAAAGCACTGAAAATATAGGGGATATCAGTAAAGAAATAAAAATTCAGTAATAATAAAAATATTGAAATCTTGTCAAATAATTCTCAAATGCTAATGAAAGTACATTCCAGGTAAGTAAACAGAAGCTAACATAAGTGTAATGCTTTTCTGCATGGTATATTGCGTTTCACTGGAAGAAGACAAGAATGTTTTATTTTCAAACCTACGACACAGGTTATCTTATCTAAATTCAATATCCATACTTTAAAAATGAAAGGTTAAAGCATATATTATATTTGAGGCCTGCTGATAAATAAAATGCAGGTTCAAAGTCACACATCTAACTCACTAGAATTATGCAAATGTTTGCACAATCCGAATGGCTGCTCCTGTCACGAATGCAGCATTTCATATTCGATAGCAGCTCTTGGAGGATTTCCTTTAATGAATCAAAGCTGTACCAGCCCAGGAAGAACAACAGTCAAACTGTCTTCTAAACTGAAATACTGTAAGTATTTTCTTCAATGTGACTGGAGAAGGGGAATCTCTACTGCAAACCTTTAAAAAAATTCAACTGCCCTGCCTTTTAAAAAAAACTGAAGACAGGTGATGAAGGAATGTTTCTCTCTGTAGAAGCATGCCCACTAAAAAATGAGGAGGAATGATAAGAGTTTCAGAACTGTAGAGGAACTGATGGTGTACTTCCTTAACATGATAAAATATATATATAAGCCTCAGCCCAAACCAGGACCTTATTTAGTAGAGAAATTTTAAGGTATTTTCCACTAAAGTCTGGAACGAGATAAAAATCCCACTACCACCACACCAATTTAATATTGTGTCGAAGGTATCTGTTCACACTGTTAGAAAAGAGAAAGCAATAGAAACTAAGAATCTGGGAACAGCCCAAGTGCCCACCAGTAGATGAGTGGGTAAAAAAGATGGTACATTTACAAAATGGAATACTATACAGCTGTAAAAAAGGGGAGATCTTACCCTTTGCGACAGAGTGGATGGACCTGGAGATTATGATGCTAATTGAAATAAATCAGAAAAGGACAAATACCATTCTTGTAACCGGGCGTAGCCAAGTGCGGGGGGAGAGGCAAAAAAGGGGTTTGGAATGGGGTCCAGAACTCAAGGTGTCCAGGAAATATTAGAAAGACATGTAAGATGTCCTCACCCCTTACTTCCCTCCACAGGTGTCAGCTGGGGAAGGGACAAATGAAGCAGGGCCATTGAGAGCTGTTCTGCATAGCAATAGTTTTGCAGCTAACCTCTGGAATGGTCATTTAACATATCTATAACCTTTAACTGGCTTCATAGATACATTAAATAGCTGTGGCCATGCTTTGAGCCAGGGAGAAGGGAGTGACTTCCACCCAGGATGTAATTGAGAGACAACATCTCCTGGTTACAGTGCCTGCATGAGAGCTTGGAGTTGATTGGTTCCACGCCATGGGTCCACACCTGACCAGACTCACTATGGCAGCCCACTAAAGCTAGGAGGATATGGGAGTCCTGGCAGGTGTAACCGACTGTAGGAGGACTCAGAAATGGGGCTGCAGAAAAAGACTGGTGCGGGGATTTAAATACAGACGCTGCAGCCATTGAGGAGGAGAGCCACTCGGTTTTGGCAGAGTGAGGATCTCCTCTTCGCCATGTGAGAAGGTGTACCGTGCAGCTTTGCCAGAGTAGGGACCCCCACAGCTGGAGGTAGAGAGAACCACGCATTTCAGCCAGAATGGGGACTCCTGCTGCCACGTACGAGAGAATCACCATGCGGCTTTAGCAGAGAATCGCCACTCGGCCTACCCTCTCCTCAACTCTGGTGGAAAGAAGAACCACGCAGTTTTGGCCAGAGTGCAGACCCCTGCAGCTCTGGTAGAAGAGGCCCATGGGGCTTTGGGGTGCTCCCTTTGGCCGCGTGGCCTGGGAAGCAGGAGAGACTTTGCCTGGAAAAATGGGTGCAAAGAACTCTTGCCAGTGGACCATGAGAAGGTGCCACATGACTGGATTAACTGGAGATCCTGCCCGGATGGCGACCCACCGGATGATGGCAGTGACCTGAAACATGGACGTGTGCTTCTTTTCCTGAGTTACGGTACCCTGAATTAGGGCAGGGGGGAAGGAAGCTCTGTGGGAGTCTGTGGTTATCCTAAAGGACTCTGATAAATTAATGGGGGACATTGGGTCTCTACTTTAAATCTGTATAGCTTTAAATAAACCTTTCCTTTCCTTTTCATAAATCTCTGGCATTGAGAGATGTCTTTCCTCTGGTGGTGGACAGGCGAGCCCAGTAGGTATTAGTATACCATCCTTGGGAGGGGCCCCTGTTGTTCTGTAGCAGTTTTTGGCATCCCTGGGTGGGCCATATATTGTTCCCACCTTGGACCTCTGTTTGGTAACAATCTCACTTATACAAGTGTGGAATCTAATGAACAAAGTAAGACCAGAGGCATGGATACACTGAACAGACTGACAGATCTCAGGAGGAGGGGCTGGCGGGAACTGAAAGAGATTAGTCAAAGATCATATGTGCATGGCCCATGAACACAGACAACAGTGTGGTGAAGGCTGGGAGAGGGGGTGCTGGGTGGAGGGGGGCAAAAGAGGGAAAAACAGGGGACATCTGTAATAAGGTCAACAATTAAAAAAAAAAATTTTCATAGCATATGATGATATACCTAAAAAGCCAAGAAAATCTATGGAAAAAGTCCAGTAAACAAATCAATAGCTTTTATGGACAAATAAATTGGTCAGAGAACACAGGAAAGAAGAGCCTTCATTTATAAAAGTAAAAAATAAAAAACGGTAGCATGAAATTTAACAAGACAAGTTCCAAACGTAATGAGGAAAAACAAACGTGAACAAGTGGAGAGACACGTCATGTTCTAAGACTGGAAGTCTCAGTATCATAAAGAGGTAAGTTCTGAGGTAACTGATAAATATAAAGCAACACCAAATTTTTTAAATTATGTTTTTTTTTCTTGTTTGGCCCTGGTTGGTTGGTGTGGCTCAGTGGATTGAGTGCCAGCTTTTGAACCAAGGGGTCGCTGGTTCGATTTCCAGTAAGAGCACATGCCTGGCTTGTAGGCCGCGTCTCCGGATAGGGATGCGTGAGAGGCAACCAACTGGTGCATCTCTCACACATTGATGTTTTTCCCCCTCTTTTTCCATCCCTTCCCTCTCTCTAAAAATAAATAAATAAAATCTTTTTTAAAAAGCTCATACGGAAGAACACACAAGCAAGAATTGAAGGAAAACCCTGAAAAAGCAATTGGGGGTCTTTACCCACTCATCTACTGGTGGGCACTTGGGCTGTTACCAGATTCTTAGTTTCTATTGCTTTCTCTTTTCTAACGGTGTGAACAAATACCTTCAACACAATGTTAAATCTACTTTTATTAGACATTAGAGCCTGATTACAAAGGCTCTATAAATGAAACTGTCAGTATGGGTACATAAACAGGCAATAAATAGAAAATCTAGAATAAGCCCAATAGCATTTATACATTTATAGTAAAATAAAGGTAGACCCTTCATAAGGGAAAATGGCCTGAGTAGAGATGACACAAGAGGACCGTGCCTGCTAAAGCTTAGGGACACGTGAGGTTTTACTGAACCCTCTTGTCTACTTTTGTATGTGGTTCAAATTTTCCATTAAAGAAAGGTTTTTAAAAATTCTAACATCCTTGCCCTGACCGTGTGGCTCAGCTGGTTGGGTGTCATCCCACTGCAAAGGGCTGCAGGTTCAGCTGCAGGTCAGGGCACATGCCTAGGTTGCGGGCCAGGTCCCCATTGGTCAGGCAACCACTTGATGTTTCTCTCCCTCTCTTTCTCCTTCCTGTCTCTCTAAAAACAAATAAATAAATACAATCTTTTTTCAAAAAACTATAAAATCCTTGAATAGTGCTTCGTTGTGTAGCTTAGCATTTTCTGAGGTTACAGAATGCTTTTCAAACCAAACTGCTTCTGCCTGGCCTATTTTCAGATAACCCATTGCTTTCATCTAAATGTTTTGTCTAGCAATACATAACATATAACCTCACAGTCTAGTAGTTGTGGATAAAATAAGAAACGGCCTTAGCACTAAAACTTAATTAATTCTGTTCTTGCAAACTAACTTTAAACTGGAAACAGTACATTGCCTTCAATTCACTACAGATTATAAACATTTTGATTTAAATCACTTAAGGTAACCTTTCATTTACACAATCAAATTCCACACTCACAGACATAAACACAAATGGCTCTATCGCCACGGCTGGTAGATGCAAAGGAAACCGGGCACTGTCAGGTGCACTGCATTTCAAACTTGAACACAAGTCTGTTGTGGCTTTTCTACAAATTCCTTGTTATAATCTGGAGACTGGCCATGATATAAGGACACCTATTCTCTATTCCTTCTCATTTTTACACTAGAGATCACACAGCCTGTGGTGTTCATGCAGGCGTTCAGAGCTAAGTGAGGGGCCAAAGCACAGTCTTACCTGCTGCCTATATAGTGACAGTTTGCCCTCAATTGGCTCATTTCTCATCATTTTCTTTTCAATCAGCTGATTGATCTGTGTGTTTATTTCATTTATCTGAAACAATATAGAAATTTAAAAGGTTAACTCTCTCCCTAAGATTACCTAAAGGAAGGGGCAACTGGCTAAACCAAACTTTGAATTTACAGTTTTATCACTAGTGATCTGATAGGAGGAACAGTTCTGCTAAAGTTAGGAGTGGGTTGTTGTGATTACTTCTAGAAATAATTAACATTTCATGGCTCATGTTAAAAATATTTACACATTACTACTTATATGGATCTAACCACTCATGCCTAAATTATCCTGAAGTATTCAGCATGAAATATTCATACATTCTGAAAAAGACAATTTCTGAAAATCTGAAGTTACCCCCGAGCCTAGGTGGTGACTTTCAAGTCACTGCAAGTGACACAGCAAATGCAGACTAACATCCCCAGGGTTTGTATAAGGTAGTCATGAACCCAGCTGGGAAGTGGCTGGATGACACCCGAAAGCGTCCTGTTCTAATGACCTGTGGTCTCCACACTGTGCTGTATGCCAGTCATTAATCTGGACCTTCTCCGATGTAGTAACACTGAACAAGGCCAGTGGAAGCATATGGTCTCTCGAAAAGTTTTTTTAAATGACATGGCTTTCGGTATACCTATCTATACTTTGAAAAGACTAGAGTTCTTCTATTAATTCTACAGCATTAAATTTGAGCCAAATTTTACTAGAACATCTAATTTCCCTAAGAAAATTAAAAATAAAATAATCAAAATTATGTATTTAATTTTGGTGGCTATTAAGAACATTAAGTAATTAGCAAGTCAAAACCTTTCAATGTTCTAAAAAAAAACCCTTTCAACGTTCTTAATATTTGTTAAAAATACACATCTGATTAGTTTTATTTCTAGTGAGCAAAAATGTTATAATATTGATGATACCAGGTTTTAATGAGCATTACAAGAAAGTTTAGTAATTTCAAAGCTGGCATAAAAGGCTAATAAATAGTTAGCTTTAAATATAAAATTGCTATATTACTCTTAAAAATAAAAATTAATCATATTTAAAATCTGCCATCTAGTTATTACAATATATTACATTAGCCAATTATGTACTATGAATACATAAACCTATGAGTCTATCATATGCATTAATTTATACATCCAAGTTACTTAGTTTCCCAATCAGGCGACTAGGGTTTTATAACACCATGTATGTTAAATAACGGCATTACATGCTATAATTCCTCAGAAAGAGCAACTTTCACAAGAGCTATCAGCTCTTAGCTCAGGTTAACTTAGAAGCCACGGACACTATGGAAAGCAGTTCACATAACTTTCACAGGACTGAGGATGAGATAAAATTGGGAGCTATAAAAAGATGATCGTCACTTACTTTAGACTGAAGTTCAAGAAGATCAGAATGGCCCATAGCAGGCTCTGACACCACTTTTTGTAAAAAATGCAATTCTTTTTTTTTGTTCTCTAATTCTTTAGGAAATTTTTCAGTTACTATATATGAATTAAACTTTATCTCCTCTTCTAGTCTCTTCATTAAACCTTTGGAAATGAAAAAAAGTGAATATTCAGTCCATAAGTATAGGTACGGTTATATTCTATATATTTTAAAATACAAGACCTGGCCCTGGCTGGTGTGGCTCAGTGGACTGAGTGCTGCCCTGTGAACAGAAAGGTCCCTGGTCTGATTCCTAGGCAGGGCACAGGGCTGGGTTGTGGGCCAGGTCCCCAGTTAGGGACGTGTGAGAGGCAACCTAGCAATGTATCTATCATACATCGATGTTTCTCTCCCTCAGTTTTTCCCTTTTTTCTCTAAAAATAAATAAATAAAATCTTCAAAAAATAAAAATAAGAAAATACAAGAACTGTACACTAGGATATATCTGTCAAAATATCCATATATCTATCTGCATAGGGTATCTCTGTACAGTACCATAAAAGACTGGCCACAGAAGTCATTTGATGTTATTAGAATGATACTGAAAAAGGACAACTTATATGGAAGAAATGTTTAAATAATTACAAAAAAAGTATTGTAATATTATAATCCTTTCAAATGACCACCCGATTTTTTTTTGAGATTTTACTTATTTATCTTTAGAGGGGAAGGGAAGGAGAGAGGGAGAGAATATCAATGTATGGTTGCCTCTCATTGGTCCCCTGCTGGGAACTGGCCTGCAACCCAGGCATGTGCCCTGACTGGGAATTGAAGCGCGATCCTCTGGTTTGCAGGCCCAGGCTCAATCTACTGAACTACACCAGCCAGGGCACCACCCAATTCTTTCACACTCAATAATATGCAAAAATAACATTTGCAAAAAAAGCCAGCTAGAGTGTGGGGAGTATAGTCAGTAATGTCAAAAGAACTGGGGATGGGGCCAGATGGATGCAGCGGGGGAACCAGTCTGTGGAATGCATGGTTTTCCCAGTTTTCTGGCCACTTTGCTATATGTACATCTGAAACTGGTGTGGGATGGTACTGAACGTAAACTGTGGTTGGAAAAGAAAAAAACAAGCCAGATATACTGTTGGGTCACATTTTGCATTCTAGGTAAGAAATCCAAGGACCAGATGACAGTGTAAGTGAAATCCAGGTTCTTTCTTCTATTTGTGGTCATTTACTCTTTTTCTTTTGCAATAATTCTGAGGCAATTTTTATTTCTATTATATTACTTCATAAGTGGTAATACATTATAATTTGTCAGTTTCAAAGCAATGAAGATATCATTAAAAGTACACATTAAAATCCAAAAAAGAAATTTTCTACCTTCTTTATCTACACTTCAGTTTTCCATGTTTGGTAAGTTTTGATTTTGTAAAGTATCGGTTTATAGTTAGGTAGCAACTTAAATTATATATTTAAAATTCAATACTTCTCTTATTTGGGCAGAGTATACAAATATACACACAAAAAGATTTTCAGTAATAGTTTTGTTATAAATTCCCAGCTTAAAGAGCTTTTAAAAGTTTATTTCAGATCTTTCCATTACACATTTACAAATTCTGGCTTCACTTTTTAAAACACTGGATTTCCGGTTTAAGTCATCTACGTACATAGATTGCATAATAAACCTGGCCTAAAGCCTTAAAATTATTTTTAGTTCTGTTGTACTAACCATATTTTAACGTAAAAACTTACTAATGGCAAATTCATGAGTTTTTCATTCATCCCTACAACTTCCCCCCAATTTTTTAGGGACTGGGGAAAGAGAGGGAAGAGAAAGTGTTTAATGAATCACCCCATAATCACACAGCCATTCCGATGTGGTTTCTGATTAAATCTACATCCTGGTTTCTCTGGCTATTAGATGACTAGTTTTTTCCATCTCCAAGCTCTTAAATGTACTGCGTGTACTCAGAGATGTAGGAAATCAAAGTCTGCAATGCTCTCAAAGATTTAAAATTCTTAACTATTATTTTCCTTATTTAAAAAACCTTAAATGTTATATTCCTTACTTAAACGACATTTCTGATTCTGGAAAACACACACTAGTCTGTAGTGACAGCAAGCAGATCAACAGCTGCCTGGGGGCGGGTGGAGGGTCAAGGCTGGGCAGGAGGGAGACCTGACTGAGGCACAAGGAGAGGCTGGGGTGCTGAATATATTTACCTTGATTAGGTTGATGGTTTCTTATCAAGTGTATACTTTAAATATGTGCAGTTTATGATTTGTCAATTTTACCTTAATAAAGGTGTTAAAACCCATGAAAATAGAATTCCCATATTTTAAACTCTTCTCTTAAAAATTTTAATTTAGACCTTGAAAAGTAGTCGTATGTTTTCATGCAGTTTTTTTTAAGATTTATTTATTTTTTTAGAGAGAGAGGAAGGGAAGGAGAAAGAGTGGGAAAGAAACATCAATGTATGGTTGCCTCTCATGCGTTCCCTACTGGGAACTGGCCTGCAACCCAGGCATGTGCCCTGACTGGGAATCGAACCCACAACCCTTTGGACCACAGGCCCGTGCTCAATCCACTGAGCTACACCAGCCAGGACTTTATGCACTTTTTAAAAAATAATCTTTTGAAATTCCGGCCACTAAAATCTCTGCAAACTTTTTTTTTAAACTAAAAATCCCTGAAAACATCTCACTGATCCTACTATAATTGAATGAGTAGGTTCTTTCATGTAATAAATAAATATATAGTCACAAATATACAGTCACAAATATATAGAGTATCAAGATGAATTTGAATGTTTTATAGTATGACTGTTACTCTGAAAAAATACAAATTACATAGTTATACTAAAAATAATTTTTAGCCCTGGCTGGTGTGGCTCAGTGGATTGAGTGCTGGCCTATAAATCAAGGAGTCACCGGTTTGATTCCCAGTCAGGGCACATGCCTGGGCTTCGGGCCAGGTCCCTATTTGGGGGCGTGTGAGGGGCCAGGCATTGATGTTTCTCTCCCTCTCTTTCTCTCTCCTTTCCCCTCTCTCTGAAAACAAATAATAAAATCTTTTTTAAAAATAAATTTTATATTACTTAAGTAAATAGAAACTTTTTACAATCCTTTTTGTTACTGAAGAATTTAGATGAACCTTATTAAACTAAGTACCCAGATCAATGAACATCTGCTTCATTGATGTACAACAGTTGAGTGCAACCCTTCAACTGTTTGCCAAGATGTCAATAAAGCAAGAACTTTGACCTCCTGCTCCCCATTCCCGTCCACTCACAAAACGTATGTATTACATACATAATACCTTATTTTCATACTTCAACCGTTTTTCCTCACTTGACCCCCCTCCTGTGGTGGAAAAGATCACGCTTTCCTACGTGGGGTTAAGGTCTCCACTCGCACCTCCCAAGTCCTTACCAGACTATGTAGTGAGTGCCAGCTACGTGTGAGCTAGTGTGTGGCCTGGAAACAGAAACACCAACTATGACCTGGTGACTCTCCTGGACTTCAGCTAAGTCAGAGTTAGATATACCAACAATTACCACCTTGTGGTCACTGTTATGAAACACTCAGTACAATGTGGGGGCATCACTGGGGCAAACAGCGGAGGCTGTCATCCATTTTTTCACCTGTTCCTCCCAAAACTGCAAATCGCCATCTGTCTGACTTTCCTGCAGCGCACGAACACCACGCACTACCCTCCCGCGGTCGGGCACAGTGCTGTCTCCTTCACTCACTCGCACACTCCCTTTCCTGCCCTCTTTTCGAAGACAGGCAGTCAGAAGCAGCTTACCCCTTTCTCTCTACTTCATCTGTCATGCGCTCAGCCTACTATCTTTATGTTCTTTCAGGTCACTGTACCTCAGATGGAACGTCTTCCACACCTTTACCTTTCTGTCTTTCACATACTTCGGTGGCCACCATGTCCAGGAAGTCATCTGACTCCGTGTTAGTGTTCAGTGCTTTGCCTCTCGTTTGTCCTCAGAGAACCCTGTGCTGAGCTCCATCAGCATATTCCTCTCCCTGCATGTTAACTGCCCCCTGCTTGTCATTTGTCCACTACGCTGTGAGCACTTGAAACATTTTGCTTTCTACTCCTAACACTTAGCATAGTTTCTGACATGCAGGAGATGATCAATAAATACTGAATTAACGGACTGTTGGCTTGAGCTGATTATTTTTATTACTACTTAACATGCAATTGGTTTTATTGTTTAGCAGCATCTACTAACATATTACTTATGTTAGTATTTTAAACCAACATTCCAAGAGATGCCCCAAACAGAACTTTATCCATTTTATTACTAAATAAACAATTATGCATTTCCTGGCCCAAATAATTTCTATTTAGACTAGGAAGCCAAAGCAAAATAAAGACTATTGACTCAAGTTAAAAAATGAAATATTACTATTACTGTAGATACAGTTGCCCCATTTTATATTCCTATCAGCAACATATGAGAGTTCCAATTTCTCCACATCTCACCAACATTTGTTGTTGGTCTTTCTACATGGTCATTCTATGTGCTGTGTCTTAGAGTATAATATTTCACAGAATACCAGAGGAAAAAATACCCTCTCACAGCTGGATGTTGACACTGGAAGACATCTATAATACCCATGGGAGCTGTGCACCGCTCTTCCAGTTTACATGGCCTCCCTTCTTAGGAACAAAACACTTCAAAAATGCCCAGGATGGGTACAGTGGTGTAACCTGGGATACTGGAACAACGTATCCTCTGTGTAAAGCTAACGCGACAATGGAGATCCCCACGTCATTAGCACGACCCTACACACATGAAAAATACTCAGTTTTAAGGGCCCAGCATTTTATTCTTTGTCTTTATAGTCCTGGTTTAAAACAACGATTCACACTTTTTCCTCCATCCATCTTTTTCGTAACTTCCATCCGAAGTACTCCATACACTCCCAACTTGCCGAGCCGCGCCCACACGGTTTTCATTACCCTCACCCACTGACAAAGCACTGAACAGGAATTTAAAGCCCCAGGTGAAACGTAAAGATGCCTGCGTCAGGGCTCTCCCTCATTAGCTAGAAAGGGACACTCCGAATGCTGAGAAAGAACCTAATGACAATCCTCCTTAACAACTGCTTTAAAGGAAGACTACTGATTTAAACTAACAGTCTCTGATCAACTAGATCATCTAATAATTTCCACTTACTTTCAGGCTTTGCATCTGCTGCTGCATGGCGCATGATTTTCAGCTGGTTTTGTGCTCTTTGCAGTCTCTGCACTGCATGAAATAGCTTTAAAATAGAATTAAACCCATTACTTGCTCAGTCTAGTGAAAACTAGTACTCATACAGATAACGAAAATGTAAGTTCCATATAATTCTTGTGATATAAAAGGAACAAATAATAAGAACTAAAAAAATTATTATGTTAAATCCCAAATGTAAATGGTTCCCCTCATAATCTTTCATGTAAAACTTTTTTAAAAGAGCTTTCAGAAATAAAAAAAGATATTTTCTGAATTTGGTGATCAAGGAAAAATACCTGTTTAAGAAATATATGTACCACGCTTTTCTTGTTATAACATGGTTTTTCCTAACTTTAAGGAACGCAAGCTTTCTCACAAGTGATCTCTCCGGATCAGAACTGGTCTCAGTAACCACCTAGGGCCAGGCCATGCGGCTTCCTGCTGAAGTGGGACTACCATGATGCCAGGTAAGCCCTAAGAGAGCCAGACGGCTACCCATTTAGAAGAAATGAAGCTGATCTGAGCTATATTTTTAATGTATAAGTCTCCTCAGTTTTAAGAATGACTCTTAACAAAATAAAACTAATTATTTTCTGACCAAATTATTTTTTCTTTGTGGTAAAGTCTAACAATGGGGATTGTGAGTGTTTTAGAGCCTTTTCCTGATTTGCTTCTTCACCAGTGGAGTAAAGCGGAGGGGATACTGTGATCAGTGGGGTAGAGAGGAGGTTACCACAGCCCCAGAATCTAGAGACACCTGGCAGTGTCTCTAGACACCGAGATTCTGGAAGAATGAGAGATTCTGGCAGTTTTATCAGCAGTTAACCTTACTGCTTAACATTACAATGAATATTCGGTAATGTTGCAATGACATGAATCCAACATAAGCCGAGAGGTAGTGTACAGATACACACAGATGGCATCACAAAATACTCTTAAAAGAATATTCCACCACGTTCGCAGAGGGAAACATGAACTTCCAAAATGATTCTTTGCTTACATTGGAATTCTATTTCCTTCATCACGAGAACATAAACTTTTATATGGATACCTGATTCTTTTGTTCCTGTTTCTGTTGTGCAAGAAACTCTTCCCTCTCTTTTTCAACTCGAAGTTGCCTTGCTATTTTAAGCATCCGCTGATGGTTCTGAACTGTCTCCACCTACAGTAAGGGAGTAAGAAGTACATGGCACAGTAAGGTTTAAGGAAGCCATTAGCATGCCACGTGACTCAGACATCCACTCATCATTTCCTTGTGGTAAATAGTACTCCCCAGAGGTGACAGTAAAGCTCTGGACTCCAGGCCCTTAAAGGTATTGGGCTATTGCCTAAGAAGATTCCCTTCCAGTCAGTGCTATTTGAGTCCCTCCTTAGATGTAAACCCATGCTTTGCTTAATCTTTATTTGCATTCCGAAGTCTTTGCAAGCACTTAACACTTGGGGCCCAAGCCTGACAGTGCTAATTCTTGCCTTACCCTCTTCTTCAAACGTTCAACTCTCTTAATGAGCTGGTCCTTTTCTTCCTCCATTGCACTGATATCCTAGAAAAGTAATAGAGACGACATAATAAGAAAAAGTATTCTTTTAGAATTCAGAAGAGGGTTTTAGATAATTATGCATCTATCGTTTTTATCACTTACTACCAGAGCATTAAGGAACAAAGATCCCAGCTGGGATTCTATTCTCTCCACCCCCAGGGTTCCCTATGCACGATCATTTATGTGGCAGCTTTTCAAGAAAAGCAACCGAAACAGGTTAGAAGGTAGCAAGGTGAGGCTGCCAGCCAGCACACTTGTGTTCTGATTCCAAATATGGGCACAGGATTTTTCAAAAACCTTCTACAATGGGAAGCGTGCAGGTCTAAAAACACGAACAGCTGCTGACATCCTATCCGCTGTTAAATACCACACTACATATCCTGCCAATGTTCCATCAAAATTATTTTTAAGACTATGGTGTTTTTAAGATACAACTTGGTGTCTGGTTTTGTCAATTAACAAATTCCCTCCCTAAAAATAAAGACTTCAAAGATAAACCACCTTCCTTTTAACCAGCTCCACAGTATTTTCTAAAGAAAACAAACAAACCCTTCCTCAACCTAGAGTGCTAACAGCCTAACCAGCACAGCAACGGCACAAGGGAAACTCTACGTGTAGTCGGCATTGACAGAATTTAGGGAAACAGGTACTTTACTCACTGCAGGTGGCACTGCCCTGAAGAACAACATCAAAAGTCCTAAAACATATGTGTACACCTACCCCCCTAATGCCACCTCTGGGAATTTGTCCTAATAACATATGAATGAAAGGTCACTGACTTCTCTATAAGAATTCTCATAGTTGCTAATTATATCTAAAAATTGGAAATGATCCAAATGTCTGAGTTATTATTAAGTAAACTATGATACAGTGAAAGCCATGAAAAATAATGCAAAAGAATGTTTAATGACATGAGAAAAAGGCACCACATATGAAATCACTTGGAAGAAGTGGTTTATTTAGAGCATTCATGCATAGTATGACATCCAGAAAAAGATTTAAATAGAGTCACTAAAAATACCAATAGCAGTGATCCGTAGAGCATGGGATTTTAAGTGAATTATTTTCTTTTTATTAATGAATCATATTTTCCACAAAGAAATGTTCAAAATCCGTTCTTTGATAGGCATGAACGAAATTTAAATTCCAGACTCCATTTTATCGATTTGGCCTAGTCACACGACACAACAGAGAAACAGCAGGCGGACGCCCATCACTCTCCTTCCACAATGTGTTGCCAGTGACTTACGGGGCTTTCTCCCCCACTGGATGTGAGTCATTCTACTACAGTCAACAAACTCTTACAGCAACTTCTAATGTTTTCTGATTGAAGGAGAAGATAAAGATGGCATTGATAGGAGTTCTAAAAGTACAAAATTCACGAAAACGAGAATCAGCAGGTGTTTGGGGACAGAACTTAAATGCCTGGTGAGACTGTGAAGTATTTTTTGGAGAGCATTAAGTAATGAGCATCGAAAGTCCTAACAGTGCTCTTCCTCCCAGGAGCCCACCTGCCCGTGCCTTTCCCTTCCCCTCCCTCGCACGTGGGCATCTCCTAACCTCCACGGGACCCCAGGAGACTCACAACCTGGGGAGCAATGGGCAGCGGCAGCACAAGTGCTAGTCCGCTGCATCTGTCCCCAAGGCCCCTTTCCTCTGACCGTCCAGTGAGCTCACAGCAGCTCTGCCCTGGCTCACTTCCTTCCCTGAACATTTCTAGAGCCAAGGCAGCCTGGACCAGTCTCTCCCCTGTTGCTGCTTTTATTATAGGCTTTGCCTTGTTTCGTGTCCCTGGCTTTAATAAATGTCCTCTCAAAAAAGAAAGTCCTAAAAATTTTCATATGTTTTAATAAGTAATCCCACTTCTAAAAATTTATGCTGAGAAAACAATCAAAGATATACAAAAATAAATTTATGTAGAAGATAATCAGCATTATCTATAACAGCAAAGAATGAAAACAAAAACCCAAAAATGGTTAAATTATCCACACTATGGAATATTATATAGTCATTAAAAATCATATTGTACAAAGATAACAATAGGAATATATTCCTGATATAATGATTTAAAAAGCAAGATACAAATAATTAAGGATAGAGTGATACCTCTGAACACACACAAGAAACCTGAAATGATAAACAAAATGTTAACAACTGGACCATTTATCTTCTTTGTTCTTTTCTGCTTTCTCTAATATATGTCAGATACTTGTATCTATCTATCTATCTAGAAATATAAACATATATTAGACAGAGACTCAAAACATAAACCTTTCAAGTCCACGGTAGTGCTCCACATGGCACGTGAGAACTCACTGTGAATGTACCACGTCCTCACTAATTTGTTCAGTGAAGAACTGGCAAAGGTCCTACGGAAGAAAACCTGCCTTTTGCTATCACTGGTTTCCATATAATCTTAACACTCATACTGAATCCAATGAAAGCAAAAATACTAAATCTAATATTATTCGAATAGATAAATATTGTTGTATTTTCTTTTCTTTACCCTTCTTATTTCTGCTGTAGAAAATCCAGATGTCTTAAGCTGCTCACATTCTTTATGCAAAGTTTTAAAGGCCTCCATCAACTCTTCATACTAGAAGAACAAGTGGAAAAAATTACAAACTAATGACCACATCTAGTAGGCTTGTCTTAGGTTATCTATAAATTTACTTACAGTGACTACTTCAATCATTATAAGCACAGCATTAAAAATACATCATGAACATTTATATAGGACACAAAACAGTAGGCCTGTGAAGTGTGGTCGGTAAACACTGCTCCAGCTTCCTCTCTGGTTACTTTCCTACCGCACACTCTATATTCTGGCTAGCTGTTCTCCTTTCAGTTCCTGGAACATTCCGTGCTCTCACTCCAGTTTACAAACCCTAGTCCCTCTGAGAACACCTTATGATTCCCCTCATCCCTATCCTGGATAATAATGCCTATTCATCCTTCAGCTCTCAGCACTGGTATCATTACCCTCACAGGAGACTTCTCTAGCCCCATGTCTGAGTGTCATGGTATCAGAGTGGACATCATGTAGAATCACGATTGTCTCGTTCCTCACCTGTTTCCCTCCATTAGACAGTGAGAACCAGGAAGATAAGAATCGCATTGATCACGTACATCTTCATGTCCCTGGGGCCTAGCACAGTGCAGAACTCACATAGGTGTTCAATAGAAAATATGTGAATGAATGAAGAAAATCACACTTATCCAAACTTTTACAAAAATAACATTTTTTGTGGACAGGGACAGGAAATATTTTTCCAGACTACTCATATCCTAAAAAATCTATGAATTATTCTAAAGCTCTTTATTTATAAAGAAAATATGCATTTTCATTAAGGTCTCTGCTAAATGAGTAGCTAAATAGGTAAGTCATTTTACACCTCAAATACTGCAGGAACAGTCTTTATTATCATGAATTCTTCCATTAATTAGCTGGGCATATTTAGTAAAAACTATTAATAAACTTCCTCCAGAGGAACTGGTTTTTATCAATTCAATGGGAGAGAACAGGGAGGAGAAACTATTTCACATTATGCTTCTCTAGTTCCTACGTTCCGTAAAGCCTTCCAAGGTGGTCACCAGCCGGGCGGCCGCATTCCACTGTTCTCTCCGTGGCATCTACGGTAATGCTTCATACGACAGTTGCAGAAACATGGCTACCCCAGAAATATCTTAAGGGATCGATATTGACTCTATTTTGAGTTAATGACATGCTTACCAAAATAACAAAATATATGGATGAAAAAACATTTAGTTGTTTTGATTCGATCCAAATTTTGAGCACATACTATATAGAAGCAATTCTATAAAGCCCTAGAAACAAAAACTGATGGGTAAGACACACCTGTCTTTATAGACCTCACGACCCACTGGGAAGACGGACTGACAAACTCTTTACGAAGCCAGCACAATCCATCTACCCACATGCGTTGGAATAAAGAGCACAGGGTGCTAAACAGAGGCCCTCTCCTTTACAATCCAAGTCCCTTGAAATCTTAAACCAGAAGCCTCTTTCCATAGTCTCTGATCAGCAATGTGCTTTTTTCTTTTAATCCTTACCCAAGGATATTATTTTAAAACATCAATGTGAGAGAGAAACATCAATTGGTTGCTTCCTGTACGTGCCCAAACCAGGGATCTTAAGCACCGTGACCAGGGATTGAACCTGCAACCTGGGTATATGTCCCGACTGGGAACTGAACCCTTAGCCTTTTGGTTACAGGACAGTTAACCAACAGAGACACACCAGCAGGGCAGCAACATGCTTTTAATCCCAGGACCCAGGAGCCAGACCTGGCAGAGTCCTCAGTGGTCAAGGGCTTCAAGATCTTAAGGCCAAACCCCAGGACTACCTCAAAACTCTGGTGAGGAAAGTGCATTGAAATTTCAAGTCCCTGGCCCTTCCTCTGTTTTCTGTCTGACCGGAAAGTCCCCTGAGGTTGCCAGATGAGCTTCTGTGCCCACGCGGTCTTCACAGGGGCTCTCGCCTGTCCCAATTTGCCTGGGATACTGTCAATTCATACCCTTTGTCCTGGTGTAATTATTCTGATAGTCCCTTTCTCTCTGATTTGGATGACAAACTGTGTAGCCATCTACCCGATCAACAAAGTCCTGGCGATCCAGAGTCCAAAGTGCCCAGGATCCATTATCTACCCACAATGCTTAAGTATTAAATTATGCTAAAAAGCATTCATTTCAAGGGCTTTTTTTGTCTACCCACATACCCCTGCCCCTGAATTGGTATTTGTGTACAAATGTCAATTTCTTAATACATGACTGCAGATGAACATTACTTTTTGGTGTCACCTGAAAATACAGAGAGCAAAGAAATAGAGAGAGAGGAGCGTGGATTTGAACACGTGCACCCCGAAACCCACTAGAGACCATTTCAAAATACTATCCGTGTATTGAATACCTGTTTATTGGTATCGGCCACAGTTTCATCCTGAAGAAACTCACTTGGCACCTCAAGTTTTATTAAAAAACGAGCTAAATACGCTCTTTTCTTCAGTTCATTCGTCCTCTGAAGAAGCCAGTGGAGCACAGGGTAAATTACAGGTTTACTTCCAGTCACCAGACCCTGACGAAAGGTACTCCTATAAACACACACACACAGGCCTGTAAGTAAACCTTGGAGGTAACCTTCACTCACGAGCTGACTTACAATGCCCTGACTGCTTTCCATGACAATTTAAAAAAGATAAAACCAAGGCTATTCTAAGTCAGTCTGTACATTAACAATAAAAATAAAATCAGGCCCTTAATATGTTACTGGGATATTTACAAAGGTGGTGTTGCAACCAGTCGCAGGTAGAGTCAGCCCTGATACTTCACTTCTTTGACTGGGTAGGCTTAAGTTACTGTTCCTATCTAGGATGGCACATAGATGATAGCGTGGATCTGCCTGACTTTTTTGACTAGGAAGAAGAACTGACCCACTGAGAACTTCTGCATGCCAGAGTAACATTTAAAGTTCAAGATTATTTTGAATTTAGTGATGTTCCAAGGCCATTGACCTGGGGAGACCAGGTATCGCCTAGGAAGACTGCCTATAGCCTATGCTTTGCCTACTGAAGCACTGCTTAAGGAAAACAACAAGTAATACAATTAATTTAAGATATAAGTAAAACTTCTCTAAATTTTTTTTAAAGGAAAGAAAGCAACATGCAATCAGATTCTCACATGTCTGTGGCATTTCCTGGAGGTTTGTATTTAAGAATACCAAGAAGGCTTAACATCCGTTTGGCTGTCTGCTCTGGCATCTCCTCTCTGATATCGACAACTTGCTAACAAATAAAGAAATTAAAAAAATATGTTATTGTTGTATATCTAACAAAGAACAATATTTAAACTCACAAAATTGTTCTGCTAGAGCATAACAAGCACAGTGGTCTCTTAATAAAACAATTAAGTTCGGAGGTCCCCAGATTCCAAGTGAGGGGACACCCAAGTCAGATCAGGATTCATACTAAGAATGTCACCAGTAAAAATTCTCCATGCAGAGACGTGAGCTAATTTACAATACAATAAAGCCTTTTGTAAAAGCATTTTTATTCCTGGACCAAATCTATTTATGTTTGGAAGTAGAGAAATATTTTCTAAATAAAGTACAAGTAGATAATTTAATTTCTGAAGTGCCAGAGAAATCTTTTGTTTATTTATTTGTAGAGAGGGGAAGGGAGGGAGTCTCGCACGCCCCCTACTGGGGACCTGGTCCAACACCCAGGCAGGTGCCCTGAACTGGGATTTGAACAGGTGACCCTTTGGTTCACAGGCCGGCACTCAATCCACTGAGCCACACCAGCCAGAGCAGAAATCTTAAAGATCATTTACAAGCACTTTACAGTTATAAGCCTCGTGAAAATAAAGTCCAGAGAAGGTAACTAATTTGCCCAAAGCACGGATAGTTAGAGGCAGAAATCTGGCTCTCCTGCCACCCTTTTCATCACAGAGAAAGAGGAAATGCTTGCTTACCTTTGGATCAATCTCAGCCAGGACATCATTGAGAACTTGTAATAGTTGCATTGGCTCCAGGGAATCAAATGTGATTAAATTATAGTTCTTCCTAAAAGGCTCCTTGTTGAGATTGTCCACAATGAATTTGATTTGATCACTCATGGTCAGGTCTTATAACTTAAACTAAAGAGTAAAAATAGAGAAAAAAATCCTCGATACTGGTAACAAAAGTCCTGGGGGGGAAATCAGTATTAAGATCATAGGGAGTAGGCGTGAAGAGTATAATGAAAAAGTTATTTTGTTAAAAGAAATCATCAGAGTGTGAAGACTTTATTATGAATGCTACAGTATATACTGTTAATATCTGATGCCAAATGTTTCTGTATATTCATCTTGTGTGACAGCAGTCACCTGAATTAACATGGACAAATAATAATAAATAATATAATGAATAATATAGCTGTCATCTCTTCAGTTAGCTCCACAACTTCTACCCAGGGGATAAAAACTTGTTAGATTACAGACATATTTCTAATTTAAAAAAAATTAATAGCCCATGTTTTAAAGTTGGGGAATATTTTTACATTCAAATCCAGATTTCCAGTCTCTCAAAAATCAGATCTGGCAACCCTGGGCCCACATTTTTGCCTGGCCACACCCAAGTGAGGCTGAGCAGAGGCAGGCCGCAGGCTTTAGCCTGGGTATGCTCTCTTTGGTTTTGGTTTCCTCCACCGAGATCGGCCATGTAGGCTTGGACTCTGCCACCTTGAGTAATTCAGGCCTTCATTTCCTTCGCCTTCAATAACATCATAGCCTCACGTTTTCCAGTCTCCACCTCTCCCATTCCAAGTCATCGGTAGGCTTTTCATTGTCCACAAAATAAAGCCCAAACTTCTTGGATTTAAAAGATCTAGCTCAATTTAGCCTTTCCCAATTGTACTTCTAAATTGGTGCTTTTCACCCTCGGAAACTTCAGCGACTGAAATGGTTACTACTCCCTAGTTCCACCTCTGCCTCCAGTTAATGCCGTTTTCCCTCCACTAGCAGGACTGTTCTCCCCTCCCCCACCCTCCAGCGGTACAAATCCTAACCGTTTTCCAAGCCCTACTTTCTTCCAAAGGCAAGTCCCTCCAGGAAATCTTAGGCTACCCACCTTGTTCTGCCTCAGAAATAACAGAGCCTACCTTCCAAGTTGACACTTTACCTACACGGCTCTCCTGCAGTCACTTCTCTATTTCATACTAGGTACTTACATTTTCTCTTCTCTGCTAAACTGTAAGTGCCATGAGGACTTATCTGTGACTAATTCCATCTTTGAATTCCCACTAAACTGAATGAATTTGTTCAGAGGCCCAAAGCCAAAAAACCCCCATAAGCATAAGTGCAACATATCATAACTTTTAAAAAATTGGATAGCTGATTATTTAAGAGCCAATGAGCTTTACCAAGGTTCCTAGCATCTCCTGCATGCAGGCATCACTTGTTCAGTATGGGAAGAAGCAGTAGAAATTTTGAGGGCAGGTCACTTTTTTTAACTAGTGATTTTTTAAACTAAATTTTAAAATGAACCGCTAAAGAAGAAAGAATTGCCCTAGTGCTCCCTAAAACTTTTTAACCATAAAATGGATAGATGTTCTTTTACCCAAGACATTAGCTGGAGCAGCATGTCTCTTGCTCTGAAATAGGTCTCTTAAATTGGGTGAGTGGAGCTGGATAGTTAAAAAACATCAAAATGTGAGGGCATTATATTTCTCCATAATTAGGTTAAACTCATGAGTAAACAATTATTATTGTTAAAAATTAATCCAAAAAAAGTAGAAAGGATAACCAATGTGTGCTATGAATTTGAAGTTTTCTTTAAGTTGTAAAAAGAAAAACTTGACCTAAATTAAGTAGAAATCCACGTTGGAGATGCACGTTTTCCAATGTTAGAAGTCGTTTAAGTGAGCGTCCACAGCATAACCTTCACACACATATATATTTTTCAATGATTTCGAAATTAAACATATATTTGTAACACACACACACACATATATTTTTTCTTTAAGAAAAAAACAAACCCCACAACACAACACCTGTGAACGTTACCGGGAGAGGAAAAGAAACTAGTCGGGTTTCCCGCTAGTATCCGACCAGATTTTTTCAGGACAAAGATGTGCTGGAACAGGTAGGCTGTCTATGCCCAGTGGGCTCTGTGCTCTAAAATTAGCAAAAGCAATTATTTTCCCTCTTCCAGCGGAAAGTTGCCACACTAAATCACCAGCACTTACCCTCAAAAGAACCCAAGGGGGTGGGGTGGGGGCAAGAATTAAAACCAGGGCGTGCGTTTATCTGGCACAACTCGGGACAGGAACCACGCCGCCCTTGTCTAAAGCTGGCTCGAGCGCTGGCCAGCAACCTCGTAGGATTCCCAAAAATAGTGTCCCCCTCGACCTCGCGCTCAAGAGAGGAGACAGGGGCCCCACATCCGACAGACAGACACCTCCGGGCTCCGCGACGATTCATTGGGCGGGGGAGCGGCCTGGGTCAGCGCTAGGCCCGGCAGAGGCCGACTCTGGCTGTGGGGGCTTAGCTGCGGCGACCCCTCCGCCTGCGAGATGCCACAGGGGGAAAGGGAAGGGGACGGGGCGGGAGTTTTCTCCTATCTCTGGGTTCCGGGAAGTTTCCGACCGCGAGGTGCGGAGGTTACCTCAGATCTTCTCCAAGAAACCACTTTCCCCACCCCCCGGAGCTATTATCCGGGCTCTAGTGGGTTCCCAGAACCGAGCTCCTTGGCAACGGTTGCTAGGCCGTGACACGTCACTTCCGGCGGGGAGGGCCGGCGTGCTTCCGGGGACCCCCAGGCGCGTGCACTGGCCCAGGCGGTGGGGGGTGGAGGGTGCTGGGCGGCTGGGGGTGGGTCCGTGTGCCAAGCCGGTTCCCAGGTTCTGAGCCACTGCTGGCAACTTAGAGAACTTGGGGCTGTTACCGCGGCGGTAAACTTCCCCCAGCGTCCTGCAGTTTACAAAATACTGATTCACCAAACATGGATGACGGCTGCTTTGTTGGTGGCTGGGCAAGAGGAATTTGGCCAGAGCTTCAAATTTAGGTTTTTGACATAAGTACCTCCAAATTAGGTTAGACGTAGGAGCAATTGTACAGTCTCTGGCAGGATTAAAAGAAGACATTCATCATAGAGATTTCAGTTTTGCTATATTATTTGGGCCACATTAATTTTTTTTAATCCAGTAAAATTTTTTTTATAATATGGTGAGAGACTGGGAAAAAAAAAAAAAAAGCAAATGGCCTAAGGTACCTCTTGGCTTCTAAGAACCTCTTTTTAGGCACCTGCAGAAAGGAATGAAGTTCCCCTGCAGACTTCATGGAGTTCACGCCCTATGAGGTGGGCGGAAGGAAGATCTCGGTGCCCAGGTCACAGGAGACGGGGAACAGAAACCCCATTGCTCTAACTGGCTTGGGAGAGACCTCAGTTGGTGAATGGTATTTTGAAACACCCCCTTCCTCCCACCCCCATAGGCTGGAAATCACTGAACTTATTGATGTCAATGAAGAAAATGAGAAGAAATAAAAAAGAAATTCCTCACACTCAGAAAACATAGTTGCTTGTTTAAACATCTTAGAAGAAACCAACTACAGATTTCGCATCATATTTACAAACAACGAAACAAATTCCTTGTTAGACATCTCCTATCTGCTTCACGCTGTGCAGGCTGCTGGGAATGCAGTCCTTGGAAGGTAGGAGTTACCTGGTCCCTGTGGTCATGGAGCTAATAGTAGTGTAGGAAGAGAGACCATTGAAGAGGCAACACCCATACAACCATGAGAAATGCTGTAAGAAAAGGGCTCAGTGATGGGGAGCCCAGAGGATAGGCCCCAAGTTCATTTAGGGCTGAAAGGACTGTACTATCAGGAGAGGTTGCATTGAACAAGGTGATGTTTAAGGATCGGTACAAATTAGCCAAACTGGAAAGGGGACAGTTTATTGGGCAGAAGGAACAAAACACTGCAAGATGGGTCCACTGCTGGCTGCCTCCTTTCTGAAAGAACCTGGAGAGAAACTAACAGTGGACCCAGATGCTCACCACCAGGAGAAGGCAACATTTAAAACCTTTAAAAATTAGCCCTGGCTGGTGTAGCTCACTGGATTGAGCACAGGCCTATGAAGCAAGGGGCCGTTGGTTCAATTCCCAGTCAGGGTACATGCCTGGGTTGTGGGCCAGGTCCCCAGTAGGGGGTGCAAGAGAGGCAACCACACATTGATGTTTCTCTCCCTCTCTTTCTCCCTCACTTCCCTTCTCTCTAAAAAAATAAAACCTTTAAAAGTTAAACTACTTAACTGTGATTTGAATCCTGGGTCTGCCATTGTCTGGCCTCACCTCTCTGAGCTTTATTCATCTATAAACTGTGCCTATAATAATACCTTCCTCCAAAGTATTGATGTGAAGATTGAGTTGATACAGGTACAATGATTAGAACAATGCCAGACACTGGAGGAGCTAAAAACATTTTACCTCCCCCCTCACTTCTTTTTTAAAAATGAGGTGGTTAGATTTGCTCCTTCTACAGAGTCTGCAGATGTAGGTATAGAGAGGTAAGAGTGGCTTATCCAGTAGTTTTTAGTTCCTCCACTACCCGTTGCTGCTGTTATTGAAACACTATACTTGTTGGTTATGAGGATACAATCCTGTATAGAGTCAAGTAAGCAATGGGAGCCACTCTTTGCACTCAAACGTGAATGGATGTTATGCTTAATGTCTTCGCTCCAGAATACAGGAAAGAATTTGAAGCCAGTCAGCCTGAGATACTGAGAAGCATATACTCAGTAAAAAAACTCCAAACAAAAAAAGAGAGACCTAGAGAGGCCTGCACATACTGGGTCCCTGGCCACCTATGAGGCCTAGATACAGGCCAGAGGTAACTCCGCTACCACCTGCTGATTCATTTAAGATAAAAAGATTCCATGAAGGGTCCAAGAACTTCTCGGCAACAGTGACACATTCACAGCAGTGAAGGCATTGCTGATTGCATCCCAAGTCAAGCTACCCACGCGAAAACTTTTTTTTCTCAGATGCTATGTCGAGTCTTCCTTGTAAAACTCAAAAGACACCTCTTGGCTGAAGTATGTTTGACGTTTTTAATAGGTGAATGGAAGTCCCAGTCATATGAGAAAGCCTTTTGGAAAG